CACACACACACACACACACACACACACTCTTTCTGTCTGGTCTGAAACTAATTTTCTGACCGCAGGGTTGTTAGTTTACGACACACTACAGAGAGAAACTCAATCAGCATTCCCATGAGTCTCTAGTAATTTGAAAGTCCATCCATCTCTCTACCTTTCTATCTATTGTTCAAGATAAATGGATGGACAAAGACCCCCCGAACTTTCCATTAATATCACATAACCCAGATGTTTGACAAAGACCATCACAATATTGTATATAATGATGTCATTTCAGAATCTCATTTCAACATTTTGCCCCCCAAAACAATTCAGGACATAAATGAAACACTATTTAATGACAGCCTGAAATCTTTTGCTAATTTTTGAGACCTAAACTGTTAGTTTATTTAAACAAGACCCACATTTTTAGGGTATTATCAAGAGATTATTGAAATCTAGAGAAGGACAGACAATGAGACGCTCTGAATTTTTTGTGTGAGTCTCACATAATAATAAAATATTATTTATTTTATTTTTATATTGTTATTAATTTCATAAATATATTTTAATCTATTTATTTTATTAATAATAAAGCGCAATACCATTTAAAACAACTTAAAAAGCATATGGAAAGGATTAAATAAGAGAAACTATATGTTGAGATTATTTAGAACTGAATTACTGAGTGTCAGCGGTCAATCAGTGACAGACATGTCTCAATGAAGTGTCCTTGAAGACGGCATCTGTTAAACATAAACCACATGCTTCACATGTGCAATGCATTCTTTACATTGTATCTCCTTTCCAGACTCTCCTAGAAATATTCAAGCATCTCAGTATCACCAGACCTGAAACACACTTTATGTCATTGTAATACAATAGTGGGTTCCTTGATCAGTGTATTGTGGACTTTAAAATGCTTTAAGGCTGCAGGTTTCTTAGCTTTCCAGATTTACTGAATCATGGCTTTTTGTTGTTTTTTTAATTGGGTATTTATAAACCCACTGTAACCAAACACTTATTGTGACTTTTATTTAAAACACAGCGGGGAATATAAGTGAAATTCCTTTCTTCCAGAGCGATGTCCACTTAAAGCATTAAGAGTGCATGCATTCAAACCTCACCTCAAGGAAATATCCTGAAAGTAAACAGAGCACATGGGGAATGCTCTTGAGCTATGAATGGCATGCTCATAAATGATGGTCAACAGGAGGTCACACTTTGTCTAAATTTTAGAAGAACCTTGAAGGGCCATGCGTAATTGCAGTGCTATAT